ATGTTTCCCCTATGTCTCATATCTTGAAAAATGAGAGACTTGCATAAAAACCAGACATATCGCCAGATTGGCTAAGAAAAGACGAACAATTTGATGGGTCACTTGCCTTGTCTCAAATACATACGAAAGCATAAAAATCAATCTCGTCAACTGTTCAGTATAGAATTACATATTTCATCTCTAATCAATCGTCAGACGTGTCTGCATAATAATCTACCCGCGGGTAAAATGTCAATTGTGCATAGGAAAAGTTATGAGTCCAAATATGAACTACACGAGATTTTGGGCTCTAGTTTACGTCGACACCCAGACCTCCACACCCTACACGGGGGTATTGGTCCTTGATGTCAGAAACACCCCCTGCTGGGGACTACAAAATAGGTTGTCAGGCCTAAGAGTGTAAGTTGAAGACGTCTCCCATTTTAACATCAATACCACCTGGGAAGACCCCTACCTTTTGCTCTGAAACTTGGATCTGCTAACCCAGGACTTTGGCAAGAACCTTAACCCTTTCACCTCTCTCTTTGCTGTGCTGTTGGTCTCTGTAGATTTATATATCTCTCTCTATCTATATATCTTAGTTACATCTTTTTCTGTAAATATTTTTATTGCACTCGTTCGACCTTTTAGTAATAAATCTTTCCTTCTGAAAGTGTTGAACTGTTTCTATAGCGCTTTATTGCAATTTACGAATTCTTGCTCGGATAAGGGTCCGGTATGGATTTTGGGTGGGGGGGATCCCCACGCCATTTTTAAGTTTTGGCGTGGGAGTGCCCCTCAAAATCCATACCAGACTTGAAGGGCTTGGTATGGATGGGAGGGGGAACCCCACGTCGGTTTTTAAATTTATTTTAATTGCTGGCAATTTTTACTGTAATATTTAGCTGTCAGTGAAGAACCCTGCTGACAGCTGAAACATTAAAACATGGTTGTCATTATTAAAATACTGCATGAATTAATAACTCGTGCGGTATTTTAGTAGCGTTTACTTTTTTCTGACCTCCGGAACGGATTAATTGATTTTCAATGCATTCCTATGGGAAATGGTTTTTTCGTTTACAAATTTTTTTGCTATAAGAAAAGTCCTGCAGAATGAATTAAATTCGTAAACCGAGATATTACAGTACTTCTTCCCAAGAGCCAGCTCACTGCTAGCATCAGGGCTGAGGAGTACTGAGGTAGGGTGCTGGGATGTTTTCAAGAAGCTATGTACAGCCCCCTGACAACCTCTCCCACCAGGCATGATCTGAGCTTGCATTGCATAGAGAAGCATACAGAAAGACTCTGAAATGACATCACTAGGTCTCAAATAAGGTATGCAATGAACATAAGTTTGTTTTTTTATTTCATTAGCATGTTTTGTGAATGATTATCAGGACCATGTTCCGATAAGCCCCCTGCCCACAGACCCTGACAACGACCAGCCAGGGTTGTGGGGAAGAGGCCCTTGTCCCCATCAACATTCAGGTAGATCAGGAAAGGGGGGGGGCAAGCAGGTAAAGGGTCCGGGGGGTATGGCTTTTGTTGGGGGGGGGGGGGGCTCCACCTTGAGTTCCACTCAAAATCCAGACCAGAAGGGCTTGGTATGGATGGGAGGGGGGACCCCATGCCGTTTTTTCATTTATTATGGTGCTGGTTTTTAAATGTAATTATCCCTTTTTTTTTTTCTTTACTATAGCTCAGAAATTCGTCTGTCACCTTCCCCCCAGCTAAAAGGGGGAAAACTCTCTAAGTTAAAAGAAACAATGATTTCTTGTAACTCTGGGGAAAGTGACAGAAAATCTTGTGAGCTATAGTGAAGGGAAAAAAAAAGCCAGCAAATTGCATTTAAAAATCAGCACAGACATACACTTCGTATTGCGAAAAAAATTAGTAAACCATGGTATTATTTTCATTCGTAAACCAAAAATTACATTAACTGAGGTATTTGTAAACCGAGGTACCACTGTATAAAAATATCAAAATGACTTGATGCATCAGTCTGCAGGAGTTGGTGTGAGCAAAAAGACCACCCTAGGTAAAGCCCATATGTGATGCTGATCCTCCATGATTGAAAGAGCTAAAATCCAACGAATGATGAGTGCAGACCAGTGACAAAGACAGAAGAGAAAAGGGCTGGATGATGCTGCATGTTCTCTAGTCAAGAAATGAGGCAGGCTTTGACTTGATGCAGGTTTCAATGCATACTGTAAGCAGCTCATATTGTGCAGTGAAAAACTGCAAAAAGCCACTCCAGTACAGGGAGTAGTCTGTACAACTGTACTGTACAAGACAGCAGAGAAGCCTGGAGGTCAGTTGTAGTGCAGTATTTGAGGGACCCAAAATCAGCAAGCATGACTGTGGGCATATTTGTGGTATATAAGAGGAATCTAGGCTATGTTTTTGTAGCACCCCTATGAATTATGGTGGTGGGCATTTGATTGGCAAAACAAGTTTGACAAAGGGGAAAAAAAAAAAAAAAAAAAAAAAAAAAAAAAAAAAAAGCTGCGTTTGACCTGCTTTGTCTTAACCTCAAATGAACATGCCAAGTCCAAATAGGCACAACCCAAAGCAGGTCAAGCATAGCCTCTGAACTGCCACGTGTTACTGCCACCTATATCCTAGTCAGACTGGATTCTCATTAATGACAACGTGCAGCAACCCACAGGAACCAATCAGAAGTGTGTGACGCAGAATGTTGTCCTTTAGAATCCCCAAGTATCTCTAAAGCATGCGCTAAATACAACTGTAAGAAAGGAGAGTCAGAAAGGATTTCTTTGTTTTTAATTCTCTACAATTTACAGTGTGGTACTCCATAAAATAAGTGTTTTCTCTTGTTAAAAATAAAATAGAGATCTTTGCAGCAAACTTTTCCAGAACATTGGCAACTCTCCCAAGGTGTGCAAGACATTTCATCAAGAAGATTGGATAGAAAAAAAAAAAAAAAAATTTTTTTATAAAGTTTGAAGGAAAAAAAAAAAAAGTCAGCCTGTCTTGTGAGTGACAAGAAAAAGAACATTGACAGAGGCTCACCCGTCCTCTCCATCACAAAACACAACTCTGGGCCTTCCAAGTTAAACTAAGGCCTGTGTAAGGTTGGCTTGATTCGCAGCTCTCTGAGCACCAGGGAACTACAACTTCCAGAATGCCCTCAGAATCTGGAGAGTTGCAGACTGCTTACAGCGACTTCCTCAGAGATTCTAAATGAGTGGAATCATTTACTGATGGGTTGACACAGTAAAAGCACTTTGATACAGGAAAGGTATTACTTCTACTAAGTAGCAATACAACAAAAAGAAAGAAAGAAAAAAACAAAAACAATTTTGGGCTGATAAGATCAACAGAACAACATGAAGAGGAAAATGCATTATAAAAAACTTTACTTAGTACAGGCATTTATATACCGGTGTCAATTTATGTGAATGTACAGTATAAGTGCTACATCAGTCCCTGCCCTCAAGGAGCTTAAAATCTAAGGCTCCCTATCCTTTATACGGTAGGAACCAAATACCCTACAGCGTGTCTGAAGTGCGGGAAGAAACCGGGGTAACCTATGCAAAACCATGCAAGCACAGGGAAACTCCAAACAGATACTACCTTGCTTGGGATTTAAACCAAAGACACCAGTGCTGTAAAGCAGAAGTATTGTTAACCACTAAGCCACTGTGCTGCCCTTTATTAGAAGAGACAAAGAATAAAATCAATAATAAAAACACCCGTCACCTATGTGTCTATATCACCACCATAATGATATACCAACCCAGATATTGATCAAGTGGAACATTGATCTGCCTTTGGTTGTATTTTACCCACAGTGACACCTTTTCCTTTTCATGTTTTTATACAAAACGTGTTTTTCACTTTAATTTGCGGTTTGCATAATTCTACACCCAGAGACTGCGACTCTAATTTTTGGTCTAGAAGTCCCAATTCATTTACTAATTTTTATAATGGTCTCTGAAGCATTCAGGAATCTCCTTCCATTTTAAAGTGGAAAGTCAGGTATTTTTTCAAATGCATAAGTGCCACCTGCCATAAGAAGAAAAAAAAAAAAAAAAAAAAAAACATCAAGCCTTCCTTATACAGTATGCCATTCTGTCAAATTTCCTGTGAGCTCAGCCTGTCATTTACATACCCACTAGGGGCACATCACAAAGGCTGGGTTTACAGAACCCCAGAACTGAGTGGCACTCACATGTCACTATGTGAGTACCATTTAGTCCTAAAAGATTGCCCACCATGCTAATGGGGAACCCTTATGAGATGTCACCAGGCTGGCTTGAATAATGCTGGAACAAAAAAAGGTATGGGGGGGGGGGGGGGGGGGGGGAGGAGGAAAAAAAAAAAAAACCGGGGGCTCCGCTTCGAAAGCGAGATGACTTCTACCTCAAATTTAGTGTATTGCTGCAACAAATATGGCTCTCTGGTGACAAACTGCCACCATATATTTTACTGTGTTCAAATGACACCTGATTTTTGGCAGGGAAATAGATTTCTGTTAAGGCCTCACAAGCCAAGTTTTGTGAAGACAGAATAATTTTTTTTTTTTTTTTTTAATTCAGATCAAAACGGACATTGTACAAAAATAGTATATCAGTCCCCCTTTACGCTCATGTAGCTCTGGCTATAACTTTCTACACCTAAAATCGTGCCACAGCTTGTACAAGGTTTATCCTCCATTAAATACATTTTCTTGTAACTTTTTGGTATTTAAAGATGGCCCCTTGCGATATAGTATTGAGCCACTGTGACTCCATTTTTTTTGTGCCACAGTGCTGAGATTATACAGTAGAGGCCTGGCAGTGATAGTCGCAGCCATAGGCAAGCCTGTGCGGTGAGAAAAGGGGGATTATCGCTGATAGCATGGAGGTCTTGTGTTATTCAGAGGGCCCCTCACTGTATAAGAAATTTGCTTTTTATTTTTGTACTGGCAGGGAAATGAGCATCGTAGGTGTACAAGAAGGGACACTGGTCACAGACTTATTAAAGGGAGAAGCAAAATTGCTGTTAACCTGACCAGGCTACTTCTTTCTCAGTGCCACCACCATACCCACAGCTACAGCCAAAATGGCGACAGCTGCTGCTCCCCCATACAGCAGGATAGATTTGCCCTCAGGAAGGAAAACAGGTTTCTCCTCTTCCATCTTGGGTGGAGGCAGAAGGGGAGAAATGGCAGCTTCAATTTTTTCCACCTCTGATGGAGGGGTAACCTGGATCTCCTCTTTGGATTCCTCCGAAGTGGCTGGGGGCTCCTTTTCTGAAACTCCCTTTATGGTTATGTCCACCTTTGGGGGTTCTGGTTGTGTTACAGGAGGTGGGGAAATCTCTTCTTCAGTTGGAGGGGTCACAGCCATGGGAGCCGTTGTCACAGCTGGAGGAGCCTCCAGTATTTCCCTCTCCTCAGCTTCTTGTTGCTCCAGTCTCTGTTCCACCACAGCGGCCTCCTCGATGACCTCCGCTATCTCCTCCTTCTCCACATGGACAATGTCAGAGTTTGATGAGTTGTTCTCACTGCGCTCCTCAGCCCCGCCATTGCTGTCCAGGCTCTTCAGCTCCTCAGGATCCATTGCCACCTGCTGCCAGGACTCAGGCCCCAGGGAGGTGGGAAGGCTCTCGGTGTGCCAGGAGGAGGAGACAGCCAGGCTCTCGGGGGGGCTGACCTGCTCAGAGGTGTCACTGGTAAGGATGTAGATATCGTTGCTGTCCTCAGCTATCAGCCCTGGGACATCGTCTTCCTCAGTATCCAGGCTGAAGACTGTGCCCTAGAAACATGCAGAAAACAAAAATTACTTGACTGTCTCTTGTTGATTAAAGAAAACACCACAATTCCACCAACACACCCTAGGCATTTGTACAATTTACATATTTATGTTATGGGTCAACTCCACCCAGGCCAACTCATGTCTTCAACAGATCTCCCAATTTCACTCAACTGCTACAACTCCAAATTATGGTGTCATCCTCTCCTGGAGAGGGATTTAAAACAAAAATGTATGGACCCCTGTTTAAGAGACTGACACCTCTGTGTAAAGGGTTTTTTGAGGAGTGAAGACAACAAAATGTGGGGAAATCTCACCATTAGACACTTCAAGCAATTTATGGAACCTGATCGAAATGTAAACTTTTACAAAATTAAAAAACAAAGTTGGCTGGAGATGGGCTTTAACCCACCACAGTTTCCACACAAAACGGAATTGTCAATCTCCTGGATATTAGCATTTTCATTTCTTTTACGATTCTGAATCAGAAATGGTTTCCGGTTTTTGGGGATAAGCGAGTTGAGTGTAATATAAAAACTCAATGAATTACTTTACTCTGCACTTTAGTGCCGGAATTGCAGGTTGTGAAATGAAGCACATCTTGGAAACCATCAGATATGGCATTATCCCAGGCAGAGATGACACATTAATATGATGAGATAGCCTCTCCTCTCCCTAGACCCAGCTGAAGAAGCGATTATGTGTTCTTTTGGTGCCTCCCGAGACTGTTTGGAGTTTCGGCACCATTAATTGTTTACTGGTTTTGTTCATCAGTCTGCCGCAGGGACTGAGGCAAATTAGAAGAGCCAACAACCTTCCAGGAACTCACAGAAATATTGCTAAGAGGAGAAAAGGAATAGACAAACTGCTGAAGAATGGTAAAAACTCTAGTGTTAATTTGTATACAAAACAGCCACAAAATATCATTTTAGAAAAAAAAACGCACCCCTTTCCATGCCAAAGAAATGCATTATATGGAGTTCAAAGGTTTCCAGTGAAGGGGACTGTTAATGCTTCAGCATACACAGACATTTTAAAAAATTGTGCTCCCCCATCCTGTGGTAACAGTTTGGGGAAGGCCCTTTTCTGTTTACGCATGACTGTGTACAAAGCCAGCTCCATACATACATGGCTTGGCCAGTTTGATGTAGAGAACTCAAGTGGTAGATGCTGTAAAGGAGTGTCCTTCAAACGTCATATTAAAAATGACCATGGTTGTAAAGTGGGATATCCAAGAAGCTCATATAGGTTTGACATACAGGTGTCCACAAACCTTTAGCCATATAGTATTTGCTCCAATGTTTCCTACACGTTTTTAATTGTCAGGTACAAGAGCAGAAAGCAAACTTCGAGAAGAATCAGTGGCCACTTTCAGAATCTAACAGTGGGACCTCTCTGCCATTGCTCGAGACTTCGTGGGTATTTACCTGGAAGGTGTTGCTGTTCCCATCCATCTGTGTGTGTTCCAGCTTCTCCTTTTACATTCTGCAGATTAAAGAATTAAAAATCCAGAAGGGATGGGTGGAAACCCCTCAATGGGCACAGCAAAAACTGCAGCCCCATGAACTCTGCACAGAATGCCTGTGCCCTCATAATGGGCACAGGAATCCAGCAGACCTAGAAGCTCAGCAGAAAGGATGGTGGGAGCCCCTTTTAATGGGCAAAACAGATTTGCAGATCCTTTAACTCAGCATAGGGATAGTAGCAACCCCTCATAATGGGCATCCAGAATCAATCTTTTTGAGTGGACTGACCCTTTAAGCATGTCAAGTGTGTGAGTTGACACGATAGAGTAATGTTATTAAATTAGATCCACAATGAAACACCGGGTGGGCTTTTGACATGCTCGTCTAAATGCTGCTGTAGATTATTATGCAGGATTTATATAGCGCCAACAGTTTGCGCAGCACTTTCCAATATAAGTGAGACAGGTGTCCACAAACCTGTAGATGGCACTATTGGAAGTCAGGTGGAGCACAGTATTTGCCACTGTAACCCCACCCCTCCCCGGGAGGGAACACGACTAGGCTGGCACCCGACAACACGAAGGATGGAGAGACTTCTACACTGTCACTAATTGAAAGACTAACAAACCTGTAATTTAATTTCTGTGGTCCTTTAAACTGGAGGCAGCAATAGAAATCCATATTCAAGCTGGTTTGGACACAAGAACGTCAACAGCTATGGCTCTTCTAGCTTGTGCATAGCTCCCCGATACTGTCAGATGGTTATATAACAGAATGTCTGAGCGTTTTTGAAGGAGGCGGGGACTGTGTAAAGCAATGCCCGGATAATAAATGCCACCATCCTTTCATGTCACAAGTCCTACATTCTGCAGGATGGAAGACACACCTTACTCAGCAAAGAGAATTTTCCAGTGCAGAAACCTAGAGCAACAAATTTGAACTCATCCTGTCCCCGTCGGACCTCAGCAGAGTGAATTTGGTTGCTACAAATTAGTGCGCTTAGGAGATAATGCTGAATATTGAATAAAAACCATAAAAATACAAAAAAAACATGATACGGAAGGTCTAACGGAACAATGAAATATTTGCAGTACAACTATGTCAAACAGTGTCCTTCTGGGGAGAAATGCAGATGTGCATTGCTAAGGGTGACTACATCTGTGAAGTCACAAATACCGGGAAGGGTTACACAGACTCTTACTTAGACGTACATATATGTTTGCTCCAGAACAATGCTAATTTAAAAGCTCCTGCTTGAAAACAGGTTCTGGGGTTCTCTACTTTGTTTTTTTTGTCTACAACAGAGTACTGTCGGGAATACTTTATTTATTTACATTAACATACAATTTTTAAGGACAAACTTTCAGGGTATTGTCCCCTTCTTAAGGTCCAAGCAGTACTGGTACCAAGCAGGCTTGGACCTTGAAGAAGGGGACATACCCCGAAAGCCTATCCCAGAAAATTGTATGTTAGTGAAAATTAAGTATCACGGACAGTACTCAATTGTTTGTCGCAAGTGTACAAATACAGCTACAATCACCTCTACATTGTAAAGTGCTTGCGCATATATATTATATTAGAGGGAGAAAATAACTGTCAGAGCAGGGTTGTGAAATCAGTGTCAGACGGATGTGTGATGGAAAATGGAACAGCCATTTTAGATATCAAACATTTAGTTTTTGATTAAGTGGATATATATAGAATGTATATTTTGTTATTAGAAGTCTTATTGTGTAACAGCTCTATTTATTTCTTGTGTTAGAATGCGATTTACACGATTTTACATCTGGGAAGATAGGCATCTAAAGAAGCTATGGGAAGTGACATGCTTGTGTGAATTCCATTTACATTTCAATGAACTCCACTAAAATCACAGCTGGAACTTCAAAGAATGATTAGGTAGCTAGGTATCGCCCATCTTAGGACATGGAAAACGAATACAATTTATAAAAGTTTGAATCCAAACACTGTATGGTTCTGCTTTCCCTGCATGTCGTTCTAGCTACATGCTTGTATAATAAGAAAAAACACATCTACGTTTCAATCTGGCTTCAGCAGTCAAAATATTGCTGAAACCCATGAGTTTTGGGTTTCCCCAACAGATGGGACCCCAAAAGGAGGAGCCCAATGTGAAGGTGTGCCCCCCTATGTCTGCAATATATCCTTCCCAAATCCTAGATGTGATACTATCTCTCATGTACACAGGGACCCCGTGTCTGTACAAATCCCCTGAGAAACAAAAGTACAGATAATGAAAATGGTGCAGAACAGTTAACAGCACATTGCCTCTGGAAAGGCAGATATATTGGCCTATAAAAAATGGAAAATTAAGCTTGCTCAAATAAATGGTCAACAAGCTTTAGAAAAACACTGACATGAAGAGAAGGTTATCAGCTGATTTCATTCAGGTGTATTGCTAAAAAAAAACCCCTCAGTTTGTACATTCCAAAGGGTTAACGCACAAGCGATACGTGTCCACCTTGGGGACAGGCGTGTGAAAGTGCTGGGGCACTGATGCAGAAGACATGGAGCCGGCATAGGCCAGCCTCAAGCAGCTATCACCGGGGAATGCCCAGCTCCAGTCCACAGTTTTTATAATAAACTGTCACTTTCTCTTCATGTTATTAAAGGCCAGCTCTAATATTAGAATATTGCACAATAAACCAAGGGGTCAAGGCTTGCTTGCTTTGGGTCTCCAAGACCTCATGCACACAACAGCTGCTGTTTTTGGCTTTTGATGTTATTTTCTACAGCCAGTAAACCCCCCAGCATGTTATCCTATGTGTCCATGCACACAGACTGTCATCAACGTTTTTTTTGGCAGGGGTGTTTTTTGGCTGGACCCCCCCCCCCACAGAACTAGTGGGTTTCTAGAGGTGTTTTATTAGCTGTAAAAAACGCTCTAACACTGAAAAACACAGCAAACCAGCATTTTTGGACTTTTTTTGAACAAAAAAAAAAAAAAAAAAGCTACCATTGCAAAAGCGCTGAACTCCTCACATGACTATACACAGCTAACTTTACCAACGTTAATAAAATACCCAGTGTGCATGGAGCCTAATTTTCATCTTGTTATGCATCTTCTGCACCCGGCAGCCCTCCCCACTAAAAGCTGTCCCTATCCTGAGTCTGTGAAAAGGCAGTAAACGGGTTCTCTAGGTTGAGCACCGCCCCCTCTGTGCACCCACTGTAGCTTTCTATATACATACTGAAGCGCGAGAGGGAGGTTGCACAACACAGCAGCCTCTCTCCCCAAAAAAGTATATTCTATACATTCCTTGTGTTATCATACCTGTAGGATATTTGAGGCCCCCCCAGAAGTCTGGTAAAAAAAAAAAAAAAAACTCAGTTAGCAGTGCACATATTCTGCCTTGTTGCTACAACATGAAAACCGTTGGACGTTCTCCTCCAGCATTGCAGGAGTGAAAATAAATGGTTTTCATTTCCTAGCAGCAGGGCAGGACATGGGTGTTAAAATTTTTTTGGCCAAAATATCCTGACAGGTTCAAATGGCCTACAAGAAGAATAAAAATAATG